CACATTTCCATAATGCATTTTTCAATGCCTTCCCTTGAAACCCAGCAACCCTCATATTTTGTTCAAGATGTCTCACACAAAACCTGAAACACATATCCCATTATAAGTACAGATTCACAAGAGATTTGTTAATATTATTGTTGATTGAAACATTGTATGAATTGCATGTATTATACCTGTGCATTACAGTAGGAAAAACTTGTTTAAAAGCTGGAAGTAAACCCTTCTGCTTATCAGACATGAAAGTGAATAAATGCTCACTTTCATCAAAAATCTCTAGATCCATTTTCAATAGTTCCAAAAACCAGGTCCATGCATCTTTTGTTTCTCCTTCAACTATTGCATATGCTAAAGGAAAGAGTGAGTCATTCGCATCATATCCTATTGCTGTAAGTAACTGCCCACCTGTTTGTGATTTCAAGCGAGTTCCATCAACACCAATTATCGATCTACAATGTTTAAAACCCAACTTACAAGCCTCCCAACATATATATATTCGAAGAAACCTCTTCTGCCCATCAATATCAGTCAAGTCACTCAGCTTCACTTTACAAGTTGTCCTGGGATTTGTTGTGTTGATCTCCAAACAATAGCTCCAAATTTGATTGAAATTTTCAACATCAGAACCTTGTATTTCTTTTCTAGCCTTCTCCATTGCTCGGTATGCTTGCTTATTACTGATATGAAAGTTCTCATCAGTGCATACCTTCTCTCTAAACTCTTTCATTTTCCAAGAACTGTGAGATTTGATTTCCTTCACCCACCGCTTTGCTATCTTGGTTGAGTTCACCATTTTATTATGGTATGTCCAAGAGCAACCATCATGCTTTCCTACAAAGCCCAATATCATCCATGATAAAGATCCTATCACTTTCCTAAGATTTATTTTCCATGGACAAGTCAAGTGTTTACATTGGACAATATACCTAACCTTATCATTTTTCACAACTCTCAAATCTTTCCCATTCTTAAATGCATAATTCTGCACTGCTTCTTTAAATTCCTCTTTAGTAGAAAAGGTCAAGCCTATCACATTCTGAGTCATATATAGAACCTTCATCTGAAAAGTTAGGCATTTCAAGGGTTTTCTGCCATGTTGTTTGAGCATTATTATCAAGTGTAAATTCTTCAAACCCTCCATATTCATCTTCTCTTGGTACTAAGTTATCGTCAATAATAGGATCACTTAATGAATCAATATCTCATTCCCACACATGGTTGCCTCCAAACTGATCAGTGTGACTAAACTCCTTTCTTACAAAGACACATTCACCATCTTTTCGTGTTATCCCCCACTCCACCCAGATTTCTAATACTTTACTTGGACCTAAATTTTCAATCAAGGCCCAAACTTCTTTCTCAGAGACTAGTTTTTTCAAACCTCGGTCTGAGAACGAGAAAAACTCATGTTCTTCTAAGTTAGTGTACCCTAGTTCCTCCAACTTTTCTGTTAGAGCTATCAAACCAAATTCATCAGCATCCTCCTCACTGAAGAAATTTAACTTACCTCCCAGATACATAGGGGGAGTCTTGTGTAAGTCAATATTTCCACCATGTAGCATTTTGAGCACAAATAAACTACTGCTCCCATCTGAAAATATTGGTGCAAACTAATTACAAATTCGTTTAACTGACATCTATAATTCTTACAGAATGTTATATATATATATGTATATATTTATATATATATATATATATGAATAGCAATTGGAATCATAAAGCAATGAAAATAATAGCAACTCAACCGAACCACTAGCCTTTAATGTCAATATAATAAATAATAAATGTATTGAAGGGTCCATCTCCTGTGCAAAGAAAGAAAAGTGCATTTTTATAATCTCCTGTGCAAAGAAAAGTGCATTTTAACGTACATTGAATGTGGTCTATTCCTTTATAGCATCTAATTAAAAGCTAAACCACATCTTTACTCTATATTTGAGTCGGAACAGTGTTCTCTTTATTACTCCATATATGCTTAATATTTATTAGTATGGAGAACTTACTTTGGTGTGAAGCTTGTGCGTCACTTCCTATGGCGGCTAAACCCATTTTGCAGTCAATTTAACTTACTCTAGAAATATTCATCCGGTACGAGATATTAAAAGCGGAAGATGAAAGTAGAAGATGGCTACTCGACCTAATCCAAGAACAGGAGATTAAGAGCTGTGAATTTGGCAAGAAAATGACTGTTTTGACCCCCATTAATTATCACATGACACGCACATGTGTGTAGTTGGCCGGAAAAATCAATCGGAGGATCAAAAGTGGGAAATATTCCATAGTTGTGCACCAAATATGGGAAAAACAAAAGACGGGGACTAAAATTGTCCCAGTCACCAAAGTCGGGGACCAAAAGTGGAAAAAATTCTTCATCTTATAAAAGGGGATGGTTACAATGCATTTCATCGCTAATGATCGGCCTCCATTTTGATAAGAATACACACTACGCCTCCTACAAAATCAATAATCATTTCATGGTGCGTTTGCTAGAAATGCAACACCCATGAAGTACACTTCTTTTGCATCGTTTCTTATGAACTATCAAAGGGGAACAATTGTTTGCTCGACTTCAAATGATGTTTCCATCTATTCTATCACTCTAATTGTTTCTTATGTACAATTCATGTTTAATAATGTAAACAGGCTCTCTTAAAAATAATATAAAACGTGTACACCTGATAGGCATCTAAAGAAGTAAAGAACTACATGGGCAACATTTCCTACGAAGTACTTCGTATTAGATAGAACAGATCGCGTATAATAGAGAACTATTTTTGAAAGAAAAAAATCTGTTATTGATATTTACCGCAGTAATTCATAATCTATACGGAGTATAGTATAAGTTCGTATGCATATTATTTACGAGTAATATACGTATGCAATTAATCAGTACATTTGGTATCTTTGATTTTATGTATCAAGTGAACACATGAAGCCTCGAGAATATTTTTTGGCGGCCCAATAAAAAAAATTATTACACATACATTTTTGCACGTAATTTAATTAGATAATTTATCATACTTATATAGTTATATGAGTTGGTGTATGGCAGGTGTGCATATTCGCTCTAATGTGTAATGATGTACTTAATGTGAAATAATGGGAAAGGTTACCCAATAGGGTACCTGGCAGATATATTTATACTAATAAAAGTTTCCAAAGATACAAAGGATTCCTAATTTAATATTAGGCTATTACACCCCCTCAAACTGTGCGGGAGATACAACGCGCAGGTTGTCCTTTAAAAAATGAAATTGCTGACTAGAGAGACTTTTAGTAAATATATCTGCCAACTGAAGACTGGTAGGAACATATTTAACAACAAGATCACCATGAGCCACACGTTCACGAACAAAGTGATAATCTATCTGGATATGCTTACTCCGAGCATGCTGAACAGGATTGGATGTCAAGTAGGAAGCAGAGATGTTGTCACAAAACAAACGTACCGGTGCTGTGACTGGAAAACCAAGCTCAAATAGAATGGACCGAATGTGTATTGTGTCCTGCACTGTGTAGGCGATGGCTCGATACTCTGCTTCTGTTGAGGATTTGGAGACAGTAGGTTGCTTCTTTGACTTCCAAGATACAAGATTGGGCCCAAGAAATACTGCATAGCCGGTGGTGGACCGAGAGGTATCGGGACATCCGGCCCAATCAGCGTCTGAATATGCCATAATGCAGGTCGCCTTAGGTGTAGGCTGAAGCCATAGACCATGATCAATGGTACCCTGCAAATATCTAAAAATCCTCTTGACAGCAAAAAGATGAGTGGTACGTGGGGCATGCATAAATTGAGAAACCAAATGCACAGCATAAGTAATATCAGGTCTTGTCAAAGTTAAATACTGTAATGCACCTACCATACTGCGATACTCAGTCGCATCTGCAAGGAGCTCGCCATCAGTGAGAGATAAGGAAGTACGAGACGCAAGGGGAGTGCGAACTGACTTAACAGTGTGTAAATGAAAGCGAGATAAAAGGTCAGAGACATATTTATGCTGGGAGAGAAACAGACCTTTAGGATTACGGATGGCCTGAATGCCAAGAAAATAATGAAGATCACCCAAGTCTTTCATGGCAAAATGGTGAGCAATAAGATGAATGAACTGAGTGACAACAGACAAGGAATTGCCAGTAATAATAATGTCATCCACATATAATAACAGATAAATAATCGAAGTCCCTTGACGGTAAATAAATAGAGAGTTATCTGACTTACTACATAAAAAATTATGAGAAAGCAGGAAACTACTGAACCGATGAAACCATGCACGCGGGGCCTGCTTTAGACCATAAATAGCCTTGCGCAGACGACACAAATGGTGAGGATACTGAGGATGAATGAAACCCCGCGGCTGACGCATATAAACCTCTTCAGTGAGATGACCATGAAGAAAAGCATTTTTAACATCAAGTTGACGCATAACCCACCCGAATGAAATAGCTAAAGTGAGAACAGTACGAACAGTGGTAGGTTTAATAACAGGACTAAAAGTTTCAGAAAAATCTACACCAGCCTGCTGATTAAAACCCTGAGCAAGTAATCGTGCCTTGTGGCGCTCAATAGACCCATCCGAAAGGAATTTTGTTTTATAAATCCACTTAGATCCAACAATATTTTTAGAATTATCAAACGGTACCAAATCCCAAGTGTGGTTAGCAATAAGTGCATTAAATTCCTCAGCCATAGCCTTACGCCATATCAATTGTTTATTTGCCTCAGAAAAACAAGTAGGATCAGCTGAAAGAGCAACTGTGTTTAAATTAAAAATAGTTTTGGGTTTAAAAATTCCAGATTTTGCCCGAGTTTGCATCGGGTGGTTATTAACCGGACAAGAAGGCTGCTGTTTAGGGCTGAGATGTGGGCTGGTGACGGGTTCTGGGCTGGAAGCAGGTTCGGGGTCGGGATGTGGACTGGGTTCGGGTTCTGGGCTGGGAGGTGGGCTGGTTGGATGAGGTAGACTAGGATTAGGGAGTGGACCGGGTGTTGGACTGGTCTCGGCCGAGCAGGAAGGAGGCTGGGTACTGGTTGAGGAGTAAGGAATAGCAAAGTCTTCCAAAAAATTGCAAAATGGCGTTCTTCATGAAACTCAAGAACCCTAATCCCAAACTCTACGTTGGAACCATTATCCATCGAACCGTAGTGACGACCATGTCGGAAATTAAGGTATATACTGTTACAAGTTCCTCTAAATTGCCTCTAATAATAATAATAATAATAATAATAATAGTTATTCTCAACTAAATTGCTTCGGGCTGTTTTAATTTCAATATTGATTAATTGGCGGCTAGTTTTGGATTTTAATCTGCATAAAACTGCAGAGTTTTGTGTCCGCCGAAACTTTTAATAAGAGAGCGAGCATCGATGCTGCAAATTTGCCAAGTCCAAAGAGAATAGCGGATACCCATGGTACCTATCAAGGGTTTTTGGATTTAAACAGTCTTGGCCGCTTTCTTAGTGTGAGTACAGTAAATCTTCCTTTCTTATTCATATGCAATGCATTATGATTATTTCTATGGGTTTTCTATTAATTAGCATATAATCATGATTGAAAGATGGTTTTTTTATAAGAATATTACTAAAATAAAACTTATTTACATAAATATGACTATTCATTACCACAACGTAGTGTTGTGGTAACTTAAATTAAAAACTTGAACATGAATTACTATGTTTTCATTACTACTCTAGTAATGAGTCATATTTTTGCAAATCATCTTTATTTTGGTCATATTTATATAATTATTTCTTGAAAGATTTTACATAGACTATTCATTAAACCAAACCAACAAATTTTATGATGTGTAGAAAGGAAATACAACTTAGAAGGGGATAAAACGTAGTCCCAGACCTTTGGAAAAAATGGAGTATCTGCTGCACTCCAAATTTCTTACAGCGCACCTTAATTGGTATTCTATTGACCCATAGAATACTGGAAAATATCCTTCATCTCCTTCCGGACCCCCTAGCCTCTGTGAACCTTTTCTTGACCAGTTATATGACTTATATCACCATACTCATGTTGTTGGAGGTCCAACTCCTCACCTTCCTTAGCTATCATTACCCGTAACCCCTTAAAGGGGCTATCATGCCCCGGTGTAAATGGTGACTTACACCTAAATCATAATCCTTTTGCCCGCAATTCTTTTAACTCCTTCGGCGGAAGTCGAGTGAACTGAGAGCATGCAGTAGACTGCCCGAACAGCCCTGAATTTGTCCACGGGGGCTGCCCGAACAGCCCTGAATTTGTCCACGGGGGCTGTCCACTATCTTTCGGGAAGGTGTCATTTGATTCCTTAATTGACATTCTATTGACCCATTAGTCCTTTAACCTGAATTAACATTTTGTTGGGAAATAATTAATTTGTATGGACCCTTAAAGCCAAAAGGGTATTGCCTCCTTGAGTCCTTGCATCGCTCGATGTGCACAGGATTGGTGCTATTAGTTATGCTTACCAGCATTGGTCAAAGACTCAAGCCATCTTCATATTTTCCATTTTCATGATTATTCACATAGACCTGTGCAGCCATGTATGCAACATTTTCACACAAAGTTGGTGACTCTGAATTCTATGCCGGCATAATTCCATTATAGACACGCAAAAACCTTCTCGAAACATAAGTTCTCACTTCTATCCATGGGAAGCAGACTAGCCATAAGCAACACCCCTTCTACCTCACCATGTTCCCCTCCATTCACATTCTTCCCAAGATTCTTCTTCCGATGAGATTGATTCAAACAATTGGATCCAAAATTTGAAGGGGAAATTTGACATGCCTAGAGTATTTGGAGGCAGAGTCAATGTCTTCACGAGATCATGGGATACCATGATTGAATTTTAGGCTGGAATTTGGTGTGGATAAATTAGAGTTGATGAAGAACATACTCAAAAAATTTAATAAAAAAATTCATAAGAACCGTCCAAAACTGCGGAGGCTGGGCGGAGGGTCCAGACATGATCATTCCTCTCTCTCTTCATATATATATATATATATATATATATATAACCTGGTTTCTAAAAATATATACAAAGTATATATATGTGTGCACAAACTACAAAGGAGTTAAGGACACAAACCCTTTGGGGCAGGAGGTATTGATTGATAAGTAAAGGGTATATTGTGTTTAAGCTAAATAGACATACGTTTATGATTATCATTAGAGTTTGAGTTATATACAAAAAAATAAGAGCGGTTAGAAGCAACTCTATATAACCTTTTAGCTTTGAAATGCTTTTACGTGAGTGCGAACCAACGAGATTGAGTTTAAGCTAAATAGACATACGATTATGATTATCATTGAAGTTTGAGTTATATACAAAAAAAAACGGTTAGAAGCAACTCTGTATAAGCTTTTAGCTTAAAAATGTTTTTTTTTATGCAAAAGCAGGTGTTTGAAAGTACTTCTTTCAACTTATCTAAGCCAAAAGTTAAAAGTGTTGTTTTAAGCATTTTAAATACTTCCTTAGTTGTTTCACCTTCTTCCACAAATTGAATAGTTTGAATCCATCCTCATTTCCGTCCATCTATTTTCAACTTTCCTGCCTCGTGTAATCTGCTTAATATGCATATGCATATTTAACCCATAACACATGGCAATTACACAACGCTTTTAAAGAAATTATACCCTTAATTTATGTAGGATAAATCCATCAATCACTTGTGCCAGAAAATGGCCCAAAGCAACACTCTTGTTCAGATGGGACAAAAATTACTTGAATATCTTGAAGGAGATGCTCTAGCTGATCATGGTACTTCCAAACTTGATGAGCGAAAACATTTCAAAGCAGTGAAAAAAGTTTGGCAAAATGAACACTTCAACGGCCTTCTCTATAAAGCATTACATATCCAGGTATTTGTATTGTCACTTAATTTGTATTGTTAGTAAGCTTGTAAGTAAAAACTATAGACGATTACAAACAAGTTTGCCAGTTTGCCAGGACTCTTTACAAGCAAGTTCCAGTAAATTTTTATCATCCTTTTACAGGACTCTTTCCTGCCCGACACAATAGCATATATTTCTAGGAAATTTATGCATGAACGATTTGATGAACGGATAGCTCATATCAAGAAAGATTACTACTTCAAATCTAGCATGAAAGTGCGAGAACCTTATGAAGGGACTTCTGTGATGAGGTTTTGCATAAATAATTCATCTAATGAGTTTTTATATCTACTGTATGTCTGGTCGAGAAAGATAGTTGTAAGATGAAGCGGCTACCGGCTATGTTAATGTGCCTGCTCAGTATATTAGATTCTTCGATCTATATATATTGTTGGACAGTAGCGTTATTTTAGGCTCATAATAACCAATGTTTAAAATTGCGCAAATGCCTTTACGCAATAAGGCACGCTTCACAATTTTTGGGGATTTCAGGGATTTCAGGTTGCAAGTTCTAAATGCAATTAGGCAATTAAGAAGCATGCCCCTTTTTGCTAAGGTGTACTATAATTGCGTCCGCTATATACCAGATGTTGAGGCGCGCCACAAATAACAGTCCGTCTGCTGCAGCCCAAATCCCCTAAATTAATTTTATTTTAAAAATATATATCATTGTCTATGAGTAACGACCTTTGCAGACTGAACAACACTGAACAACGCCTCCTGTTTTTGTCCTTCTTTTCTTCACGTATGACATGGTTGTCTACGTATTTTATTTATTTATTGATAATTGATAGAGGTGGTAGTGGGCACTGGGCAGAATAACAAGTACTCCACATATAAGAGATTTTAGTGGATGAATTTTATATTACTTTATTAGCTTCTTTGTAAGATAGTGGATTAATATTATATTATTTTATTAACTTTTTTGTTAGTTAGTGGATGATTATCATACTACGTATTAGATAGTATTTTATCAGATAGAATTATACTCCCTATGTCCCAAAATTAACTTCTCGTTCACTATTCGCATGGTCAACTTAAATTACTCTTAATCTTTTACTTTATATATCAATTTTTTTTTATCAATGTGCCACACCTGCAAAATGCATAACTTTTAAAACAGGATTAACAAGACCCTGCAAAATGTGTGCAAAATGTGTAATGTGTATTACATTTTCTAAATTTCTTTACATATGGCATTAGTCAGAGTGAAAGTAGAGTGAGGTTTACCTTTTGTTGGTCGGATATAAATGTCCAACCTTCACCATTTGTTGTCTCCAAACAGATTTGTAAGTTGGATAAAAACCACTCCTATGAGTTGTTATTTTCACCCTCCGTCGCAACCCAAGCTAACCATTTGATTGTTCTCATCTCTACCGACAGCAACCAGCAACATACTGAAATTTTCGGTATATTATTATGATTTTTTTCATTTACAAGAATTACATAAGGCATTTATACAGATAGAAGTCTGAGAGTGACTATTCAGTACCCTAGGTGACTAGTACCCTAGGTGACTGTCTAAATACTAAACATAAATGAAAATAAATTGAAAAGACAGTAGCTATTAATAACCACTCAAAGCACTAAACACTCATAATTAACGTAATAATAAGAAAAATAAATCCTAGATTAATGATGTCTCTTCGTTTTATCAACACTCCCCCTCATGCTAGGTTTGTAGATATCCGTCATGCCTGGGAAATTGTTGATGTTGTTAAGAAGAAGTGGAAAGTAGTGATCAAGAGAAAGTACAGGGGTAAGAACATCTCTTTGTGTTTTACTACAGGGGTAAGAACATCAACAATTTCCTTCCCATGATAGTGTGATCTTTTAAGCAGTTGTAGGCGGGTGTTATGTTTAGATGGTTGTTTTCTTAAAACTTTTCTTGGTGGTATGTGTTGATAAAACGAAGAGACATCATTAATCATTGATTTATTCTCCTTGTTATTACTATAATTATGAGTCTTTAGTGCTTCAAGTTCTAATATATAGCTACTGTCTTTTCAGTTTATTTTCATTAATGTTTAGTATTTAGACCGTCACCTAGGGTACCGAATAGACACTTCTTGTAAATGAAAAAATCATAATAATATACAGAAAACTTCATGGCATCAGAGATCGATCTCGTATAATAAATAAAACTATAAACCCTAACCCACAACCAGCCCACGAAGGTGGGCCCAAGCCCGTTCCCGCCCCTTGATCTCTCTGCTCTCTATCAGGAGGCCTAATTGAACTACGCTACACTCCCTCAGCGAATCAAATTGCAGATGTGTTTACCAAACCCCTGCACAGCCCTAGATTTCAGAGTCTTATTGTCAAGCTAGGCATGACGGATATCTACAAACCTAGCATGTGGGGGAGTGTTGATAAAACGAAGAGACATCATTAATCTAGGATTTATTTTTCTTATTATTACGTTAATTATGAGTGTTTAGTGCTTCGAGTTGTTATTAATAGCTACTGTCTTTTTAGTTTATTTTCATTTATGTTTAGTATTTAGACAGTCACCTAGGGTACTAGTCACCTAGGGTACTGAATAGTCACTCTCAGACTTCTATCTGTATAAATGCCTTATGTAATTCTTGTAAATGAAAAAATCATAATAATATACCGAAAATTTCAGTATGTTGCTGGTTGCTGTCGGTAGAGATGAAAACAATCAAATGGTTAGCTTGGGTTGCGACGGAGGGTGAAAATAACAACTCATAGAAGTGGTTTTTATCCAACTTACAAATCTGTTTGGAGACAACAAATGGTGAAGGTTGGACATTTATATCCGACCAACCAAAGCATACAAACAGCCTCTGAAAAATCAAAGGATGTCTCGTGACCTTAGGATCACTGTATTGTTCGAAGAACGAACCAGGACTTGCCTTCCTTAGAGCCATCAAATAGCTAACTTTCTCTTGATAACTACTTTCCACTTCTTCTTAACAACATCAACAATTTCCTTCCCATGATAGTGTGGTGTTGCCTTAAATACTTCTAGCAAATTCCTGGCCATCCACTTTGATTTCAGTTGTTTGTTTCTACTCATGTCTCTATAACAGTTGTGGTCATTGTTCACGGACTTCACGACAAAACAATCTCTTTTATAGTCCCTGGAACCATAAAGAGAAAACTTACAGCCCGCTACACATTCCACGCCCAGTCCTTGACTCCTATTTTGGTCACTAACACAGTAAGTCAAGTTTCTTCATTGAGTAACCGCATACCTAGTCACTGCCTCTCTAAATTTCTTCGTGTTAGGAAACCTTATCCCTACACACCACTAGAGCTCACTAAAATCAGTAGCCTCATTCACAATTGGTGCCCTAGTCTTCCTCTTCTTTCCTAGAATATCATCTTCTTCACCCTTCTTCACCTATAACAGTTGTGGTTGTTGTTCACGGACTTCACAACAAAACAATCCTTTTATAGTCCCAGGAACCATAAAGAGAAAACTTACAGCCCGCTACACATTTCACTACCAGTCTTTGACTCCTATTTTGGTCACTAACACAGTAAGTCAAATTTCTTCCTTGAGCAAACGCATACCTAGTCACTGCCTCTCTAAATGTCTCCGTGTTAGCACACCTTATCCCTACGCACCACTAGAACTCACTAAAATCAGTAGCCTCATTCACAATTGGTGCCCTAGTCTTCCTCTTCTTTCCTAGAATATCATCTTCTTCACTCCCTCCCGTGGAATCAACTTCACCCTCACTGTCTTCATACTCTGAAACATATCCACCAGTTTCTTTATCCAATACCAGCAAATGTTCATTTTCTTCACGATGCCCTCGTGCGATGCCTCCCCACGGACAAAGTAGTATAGCTCATCAATTTCACCACCAATTCCTATCTCTTTCGGTAAACTGAATAACCACCAAAAATCCAATTTATCGGGATCTATATGACCAACAACTATTTCTTCCCCCCGATATATTTTGTGTGAGGGGTTTTCCTTAACTCCCCTCCATGATGTTATTTCAGCTTAAACAAATCCATGTCTGCAAACTATTAATCACGCATAAATAAATGTGATTTAAGATAGTTTGATCCTTTAAGAAGATATGTAAACTAGTAATGAAATTGAACACTATCAAAAGTTACATTGCAACAACTTTTTAATAAATGTGACTTGCATACAATAAAAATAAATGCATCTTTTGCTAATTGAAACCATACAAAGAATTCTGGAACTCATTTAGTAATAAAATGGATATACCTGGCATCTGGCAATAGCAATTTAGAGGCAGTTTGTGCCCTGTTCCCGAATTAAATTTCAGCACTAGTAGTCCTATAATTCCAATGATTTTGTTTTTTTGGGAAAATTAGTGATCATTTGTGCTGCAAAAAGACTAATGTTCTCATAAGTCTCATTGCAACAGATGCATTGTTTGAATAACTAGTTTTGCAGCTTTTAAGAGATACATTTATACAGATACGAACATCACATATTGATAACAAACCGAAAATCGAATAACTTTAACCCTAATACTAACCTGATTATCGAAACAGCCTCAGAGAACTCTTTCCTCTAAGCTATTTATAATTTCAGAGATCCACGTCCTTGCCTATTTCATCTTAGCTGTGTGTTTGGTCGTTCCACCATAATCAATGATGAGTTGCTGATTGAGAGATTAAGACGCCATGAGAAAAGAGAATGCTCGAAGGCATAGTAGAAGAAGAGTATGGTGAGGGGGGGTGAAGAGTTCTTGTTGAGCGGGAAATGAAGACTAAGGATATTTAGGGATGGGTTGCATCGTTATGAAACAAAGTTGTATGGGATGGGATAATTAACTCCGTTTCATTTAATCTATTCCTGTGACCAAGTTTATCTGTTTGGATTATTTTTTTATCAATTTGTTAAGTACAAATATTATTGTAGAATGTCAAGAAGTAGGGATTGTTTACATGAAATTTGCCTATTTATTTAAGCCTTGATGTTTTAATTTTTATTGATATGTTACATATTTTCAGCCTCAGGGTGGCCTTTTCTAATATACTTTTATTCTTCACTTTATCTCATATAGTCATCCACTTTATCTAACGAATTCACAACAAGAAATAGTTGTTTTAAATCATAGGAAATTGTCAAAGCTATTTACACCAATCTACTCAATACACCAGACAACCCTAAAAGTGCAGGGAAAATTTAGAAGGAAAGAAAAATCATAAAATGAGGGATGCTAGAAACCCAATAAAGTTTAATAACGCTAGAACACTTGACTTAGCAAGGTGGAGGGTGCATATACGTGTGGACGATTGATCTCCTCCCTCCGTCCCTCCCTCCCTCCTAACTTTCATCCTTACTTCCTTTGTTCGTTCCTCTCTTCTATCTATCTTGCGTTCTTATATTATTTTTTATGTTATCCATTTTATCTTATCTTATTTTTTGTTTTTCTTATCTTTCTTCTCTTTTTTTTGTTCTGATATCATGAATCGATTCATGTTAGTCGACCCCAAAATCTTTTGGGAATAAGACTTAGATGATGTTGTTGTTGTTGTAGAACACTTGACTTTATAGTTATATTAAATCAGTAAGTGACACTTTATTTCTTAATTTACCACATAAATTTAGTGTATTACATATGACTATTTTGTGCCTAGGTGGTTGTCTAGGTGACAATTTTTCCAGTGGTACAGCCCCTTGCATAGCCACTATAAAAACCTTGATAGACACTTATTTTTCTCTATAGACTTGCATGCAATGCTATCATGTAACATGTGCACACTATTTAACAGCAATTTCACATGGATATGACAATATTTATGTTTGTAATCATTTCTTCTATGTAGGCGACTCCTATTGGTTCTAATTGTATACTGGAGTTGTGAAGATGAGCTTCTCAAGTTGGATAAAGTGGAATGTACTGTTCCAGTAAAAGCTCCTGCGAACGAATTTGCTCTTGGATTTGTGAATGTTGTGCAGGTAGACTGCCAAGTGTCATCTTCACTTTAAAACTCTCGCTCTCTCTTCGTGCTTGAAATATGAAAAATACAGGGGCAACTAGGGTTAGAGCTTACACACGCACGAATCTGAAAATCTAGAAAAGAGCGAGAACGGCACACAAATTTAACGTGGTTCAGCCAGTAAATGTTACTGATCTAATCCACATGCGGAACTAGGGTAATCTTTCTTATTGAGATGATGAATGACACAAGTCAATGTTTTCAAGTACAGGAGTCAACATATATAGGCAAACAATTGAGGTAAACACTTAATAAAGTTCTGGGCCTGCCATCAAAGACACAGGCCCGACTAGGGCTGCTTCCACATTTAATTAGTGGGCCGAAGCCTACAGCCCAACAACTCCCACTTGGATGCTTCAAAACACGATCAACTGCAATCCACTCCTCTGCACTTCTGTAAATTTCATCTTTAGTTTAGCTCCTCCTAGTTGCCTGATAAGAACGGAAATACCAACACAATTACTCTGAAAATTTATTGTAAAGAGAAATACTGAGTTCTGGAAATAACGATAAAGATGATCGTCTTGCAGAAAGAAAGCTACAAGTTGGAAGCCTTTCGAGAGGATCCCTCTCTCAAACCAGTCTATCCAATTTCCCCCCACCCCATTCTCCTTCCTCTGTACCCGTTTTACTCCCAGACTGCCGCCTCATCTCCCCCTATTAATAATGCTTTTACTCTTTTGCCCTTTTATTTCTCCTAGTGTAAACTTTTGAAAAATCCCTATCGGTATTAATTTTCAAAAGGTCTGGGTTCTCATCATTGCCACCTGCCTTCTCAACATTTTTCTTGAACTCCAGCTTGTCCAGCTTGTCCAGTGTCATAGATTTAGTGAACATATCTGCTGGATTCTTTTCAAGTTCATTGTGATCTCTCATCCCAATGTGCTTCGTTTTCTCATGATGGACTGCATTCTGGACAAGTTTCACTGCACTCTCATTATCATAGTGTAACGAGTGATCTGCTTGCTTTTTGTCTAACTCTTCAAGGAAGTTCCTCAACCAACCCAGCTTGTTACTGGCTTCGGCAACTGCCATGTACTCTGCTTCGGTTGTTGAAAAAGCTACACTTTTCTGAAGTTTGGACATCCAACTAACTGCAATTTCTCCTACTATGAAAATGTACCCAGTCGTGCTTTTAAATGGCTCTTTGCATCCACCCAAATTAGCATCAAAATACCCTCTCAAAATCACGTCTATACCTCTGAAACATAACCCCTTCTTTAGAGTACCCTTCAAATACCTAAATATCCATTTGACTACTTCCCAATGTTCCCTCCCCGGTTTTGGCATGAAGCGACTGACCACCCGACTGCATGAGAAATATCTGGAGTCGTGCACACCATAACATACATGAGGCTACAAACGGCAGATGCAAAAGGAACTTTAAACATTTCTGCTTTCTCTTCGTCTATTGAATTTCTCCAACATGTCATCTACTTAGAGAAGTAGAGTGATATATGAACTCTTGAACCTCTTCACGTAGTAGCACTGCTCCATCTCACCTCTTATGTACCTTGTCCTTATCATGAAGTTACCAAAATTCAGATACCACAACCTTAGTGCTTGTTTTAGATCATATAAGCTCCGTTTTAGTTTGCAGACCAGATTTTCTTTACCAGCAACCTGAAATCCTTCAGGTTGTGCCATGTAGATATTCTTATCCAGCTCGCCATGTAAATTTTTGTCTTAACATCTAGCTGCTCTAGATCTAAACCCTTTGCAGCCGCAATACTTAGAAGTTAAAACCAATCTGATGGTGGTCAATCTTACCATTGGAGAAAAAATCTCATTATAATCCACTCCCTTTTTCTGCTGAAAACCTTAGACCACTAAACGGGCTTTGTACCGTTTTGACCCATCAGGTTCATCCTTGATTCCGAAACCCATTTATTTTGAAGTGCCTTCTTACCTGGCAGAAGCTTAGTAAGAACCCATGTCTTGTTCTTGCGTAAGACACCCATTTCTTCTTTCATAGCATGCTCCCACCAAAACGAATCGTTCTGTTTAACTGCTTTGAAGTGACTTTTTTAGTTCTCCATTTTCAGTCAAAAGAAGGTAATTGACTGATGGAGTGATTCTTTCTAGAGGTTTGGTGACTCTAGTGGATCTCCTGACTCACTATGTTTCATTAGTTCTCCATTTTCAGTCAAAAGAAGGTAATTGACTGATGGAGTGATTCTTTCTAGAGGTTTGGTGACTCTAGTGGATCTCCTGACCCACTATGTGTCAACTAGCTGCGGCTGGTGAAGGTGCTCCTTCATCCTCTGAATTTTCACTATCAACAGATTCTCCTTGATCATCCTGAAGCTTGTCAGTACTGGAATCATTCTCCATGCTCCCACTGCCTTGAGTATCGTCAGACTCTCTGATGACATCATTTTCATACTCAACCTGTTCTTTCTGAATCTTTGAGTTTTCTGTGCTTGTGTCTTTATAAAGTTCAGCCTCAATGAGTGTAGCATGTTTACTTTGGACCACTTTTCTGCTTTCAAAGTCCCATAATCCGTAACTAGGGGTGGGCAAAATGGTTTGGTTTAACCGCACTGAAATGAACCAAAAATTGGTGGTTTGGTTATGTTTAGGTTTACTTAAGTAAACCGTTTGGTTTGAATTTACTCAAATCAAATGGTTTGGTTTGGTTTGGTTTAAAATCGAAAAACCGCAAACCGAACCGAACATCGAACAACTCACACACATATATACTTTGTATTTATCTTCACTCTTCATTTTTAATATATAAATAAATAACTTAAACATGAAAAATGCATATTTAACTTATTTCATTTTAACATTTACACATTTCATACATTCATTATGACAAAGTTAGCAAATACGACATATTTGTATTGGTTAAGTTTGGCGATAACAATAGGAAATTGCATTTATATTTTTTACATGATTCATTTGAATAAAATTGTGAATATTACAACATTTGTACCACTGATTCCTTTAGTTTTTTTGAATATTTTATGTCATACTCCGTGTTATAAATGCTAGTCAACTATAATCTTATTTTTTGTGAGAAGTGAATCTTTTTCTAGTGATCAAAAAGATGTTAGAAGTTTTAATTTATAACATTTTATTATTATTATTATTATTATTATTATTATTATTATTATTATTATTATTATTATTATTATTATTATTATTATTATTATTATTATTATTATTATTATTATTATTATTATTATTATTATTATTATTATTATTATTATTATTATTATTTCTTCTATCGTTTATTTGCATTTACATTTTATTTAAATAACCAATTTGATAGGTAACGCAGGAATCCCAGTAGATAATAGTAAGATATTAATTAAAATTAAGTGATGGAATACAGAAAGAAAGAAAAGGGTTGGCTCTCACTTAAGAAAAGGTGTTCTCTGAAAGTGTTCCCCCAGGAGTTCGTGATTGAGTAGGAGGTGTTCTTCCTTATGTATCCCTGATCTCATAGCAGTGTTTTTCTCTTCTAGCAACTGAGCTCGATACATTAATTCAGATAGAGAAGCGGATGGATACAGTTTCAGCTCAGCCTTCACCTCCTCTATTAATCTGTTGATAAAAAAAATCCTTTCAGCATCTCCTCATCTGTGTTCCTCAGGGGTGCAACCACCAATTCAAACTGTTCACGATACTCCATGACTCTTCCCATCTGTTTGATACTCAACATGGGACCAAAAGGGTTCTGTACGAGTTCTGGTTGGAAATGACGGATCAAAGCAGCTTTGAAGCATTCCCAACTGCATTCCTTGGTTTGCCCTTCCCACCACTGAAACCAGTTGAGGGCTCTCTCTTCCATAGCTATCATCACACCACTGATACTTTGTCTCCCTCCTCAATCTGGTTAAGTTTGAAGAAGCGTTCCACCCTGATGATCCAGCCTTAAGCATCCGTACCATTGAGTAATGGTAAATTGATTTTCCGTCCAGCTCGAATCATTCCCCGATCACCCTGCATCTCCCGCCAATCAGGACTGAATTATGACTAGCTGAACTGCTTCTGGAAGATGATGACGCTTGGCTCCTCGTCGCACTCCTCTGCCTTAGAGTTCGCAATTTACCTCTGGTATGCGATCAGTCTGCACTTTCCTCCCGGCGATGACGTTTAGACACCCGTGACCTCTCGCCTCTCCTATGGCGATCCCGGTGTAGTATCAAATTCTTCAGTTCAGCCACCGTCTCGCGCAAGCCAAGCAGTTCGTCCACGGCAGTCTTCACTTCTGCTTAGGCGAATTCTAGATTTTCCACACATTGCTCCATACTCGATCGAGACATGACCGTGCGCAGGTAAAGCCATCATCAATTGCTTTGATACCAATGATAGGGTTGGCCCTCACTTAAGTTATTGGGCCTAAAACCCTATTATTGAACAACATTAAAATACTTAATAGACTCAAATTATTGGTAGTGCCCATGTCCCTAACACAATTAAAGAAGATGAGATGGACTACTACTTTCATTTTCTAATTCTAAAATAGGGAAATCTATCAAATAGGTCCTTCTACTCTGTGCGAAAAGTCAATTAAGTCCTTGTACTATTAATTTCATCAATTAGGTCCCTGTACTATTGAAAATTCATCAAATCTAACTTTCAGCAAGTAATCCGCCACGTCAGCAGGTTACCTAGTGATGTGGCACACTTATGGAGTGATATGGTGTATACATGGCAGTCCACGTCACCCTTTTTATCCTTTTCTTTTCTTTTCTTTTCTTTTCTTTTCTTTTCTTTTCTTTTCTTTTCTTTTCTTTTCTTTTCTTTTCTTTTCTTTTCTTTTCTTTTCTTTTCTTTTCTTTTCTTTTCTTTTCTTTTCTTTTCTTTTCTTTTCTTTTCTTTTCTTTTCTTTTCTTTTCTTTTCTTTTCTTTTCTTTTCTTTTCTTTTCTTTTCTTTTCTTTTCTTTTCTTTTCTTTTCTTTTCTTTTCTTTTCTTTTCTTTTCTTTTCTTTTCTTTTCTTTTCTTTTCTTTTCTTTTCTTTTCTTTTCTTATCTTATCTTTTTCTTTCTCTTTTCTTTTTTATCACTTCCTTCTTTCTTCCCGCACGGTTACTTCTCTACGCTGACCAGTCTGCAACTTCCTCCATATTTCCTTTTCTCCTTTTCTCTTCTTTCGCTTTCTCTTCCTTTATTTCTTTCTTTCCCGTTCTCATTCTCTCTTTTTACCTGCTGAGCCGGACAATTCCTTCGCCCAAAACCGCCGTCGCAGATCCACCGGCCGTTGCCTTGGCAGCCATGGCAGGTGCAAAATCCGAGTTTCACAACATCAACGGGTGGCGACACCCAATCTTTAGGAAGAGATCGAGTCGCAGGAGGTGAGAAAGGAAGAAATCAACAAAAGCCAAAGCGAGCTGATCGGACATGGAGAAAAAAGAAGAAAAGAAGAAAGAAATAAAGTGAAAAAGAAAATAAAATGAAATTTTTTTTTAAAAAAAGGGGAAAATATGTTAGGATCTGCAGAATTCAATCTAACAGAACAACAATCGATTCAAGAACGTAAAAGGCAACTGTATTATTCAGGCAACAATGGCCGAAGGCCTAAGGCAACATAGCGTACACTTTACAAATCAAATTCAGCATGCCTATTACTCCTTTCTACATTCTATTTATAGTAATGCAGTCTAACAACCTGCAGTAACAAAGTTATATAGTATAACTGCAGTGCAGTTATACTATATAACAAAGTTATACTATATAACAACTCAACTACTTCCCGACCTTATTTGCCTTCTAGAATAGGCCTAACTAAAATTACTTATTTAGTAAGGTCTCTAACAATTCTCCCCTCCTGAACAACCACCTTGCCCTCAAGGTGGGCGATAGGTAGCAGCCAAAATCTCCTTTTTCTTCTTCTTCCTAGCACTCCTGCCTTCCGAATATTTCACAAATTTCTGAAAGAGGAACTTCATTACTCGGTCTTGCCAATTCACAGACGTTTCCTGAACATCCCTGCTATTGTAAGGCAAGCCAGGAACTGAGCCACCGCTTGTGTATGGAGATATAAAGTCAGCTCCTTCTTTGGTCTGAATATTAAGATCAATAGTCTCTTGTTCCATGTTCTGCCCCTGCACATTCTCTTTACCATACAGTAGATACCCCTCCATAGTTGGGTGCAGAAACTGCGCATTGATTGTGTTAGAAGCATCTTTTTCATTCAGAGCTATATCCCCTTTTATGGAGCAAATCTGATTCCCTTGCTTCCAAATGATGGACTGGTGTTTGAAGTTGATTGCCATATTTCCCAATTGAGTTAACCATTCCATGCCTAGCACCAATTCTGTCCCTCCTAACTCTAGTATGTAGAAAACTTGTTGTATTACACTCCCTTGAACATCTAGTTTCAGCCCCATACATCTGCCATTATTGGGAATGAACTCCCCATTACCAGTCTGGACCCTATAACCTTTGATTTGATGGAAAGGAATTTTATACTCATCCACCAATTTCCGTGAAATAAAATTGTTGGAAGCACCACAATCAATGATGACATTTACTGGTTTCTCTCCTGAAAACCTGCTTAGTATTCCCATTACTTTAAAAGTTCTCAAAGACTGTATACCTCCATTGTTGAGCACAGACAATTGCAATGATTTGAGTTCAGGGTGAGGTCCCTCTTGTTCAGAACTGCTGCCCTCCACTTCAGTTTCTTCCTCTCCTTCAGAAAGTTCCATCAAAACCATTTTGAAATTTTTCATCTTACATATATGCCCCCTATTCCAGTTTTCGCCACACTTGAAGCATAAACCTTTGTTACTCCTTTCCATCAATTCTTGTTGGGATAATCTGGGGCAAGTTTTTCCAGAACTGGAACCTTCACCAGCAGAATGTGTAAGAATTGGATTACTGCTACTTCTAATCCCTTCCTCCCCTTTATGATAACTGCTTCCTTTAGTTGTAGTGTTCTTCCATGGTTTTTTACCTTCTTCTTTATTCCCTCTTAACAGAATTTCTTCATTCTTGTCTTCAATCAGCTGTGCAATATCCATAATTTTGCCAAGATCTTTGGTTTTATACAACTTAAGTTCTGCCCTGATATCTTTCTTTAATCCATTCAAGAAGATGGCCCTCATTACCTTCCTATCCAGTCCTTCTTGGCAGGATATAGCTGTTTCAAACTGTTCTCGATATTCTTGTACAGATCTCTTGTGTTTCAATTTCAGAAGGGGACCCAATGGGTTGTGAATCAACTCAGGCTGAAAACGACGAAGCAGTGCCTTCTTCAATTGCTCCCAAGCCCTTACTCTTGCTTGTTTCTCCCACCATTGAATCCATCCTAGAGCTTTGCCTTCCATAGCTACTACTGCCACTTCTATCTCCTCCTCCTCTGGTGTATTGTTGAGTCGGAAATACCTATCGATTCTGACAAGCCATCCAAAAGCGTCTTCACCGTTGAAAAGAGGTAGGTCAACCTTTCTGTGTATCGGGTGATGTTGGCGACGTCTGTGAGGGTGCTCGAACTCCAGGTGATCTTCCGATCCTTCGGAAGAACTGTCAGACGATCGTCGTGCGTGTTGATGGTGATGCGTTGAACGGTGCGATGCGTGTGAGGTATGCGACGTGTGTGACCTGCTATGCGATCGACTCTCTCCTCGCGCCTCCAATCTAGCTATAGCCGCCTGAAGCGCGGTAAACATCACAGTATTTTGTTGTTGCGATTTTTCCAGTTTCTCATCCAGCTCGTTCGTCCTCAAATCCATCTTTGTTCTCGTCAAAACCATCCACAAAGATCGGCGTCTCTGATACCAATGTTAGGATCTGCAGAATTCAATCTAACAGAACAACAATCGATTCAAGAACGTAAAAGGCAACTGTATTATTCAGGCAACAATGGCCGAAGGCCTAAGGCAACATAGTGTACACTTTACAAATCAAATTCAGCATGCCTATTACTCCTTTCTACATTCTATTTATAGTAATGCAGTCTAACAACCTGCAGTTATACTATATAACAACTCAACTACTTCCCGACCTTATTTGCCTTCTAGAATAGGCCTAACTAAAATTACTTATTTAGTAAGGTCTCTACCAAAATACCAGTGACTTGGATGGAGGCTTGTAACTTGGTACCGGATGGCAACCAGCTAACAAGTAAATTTGGTTGTTTTGGAAGAGTTGAGGGACTTAATTGATTGGTTTAAAACTACAAGGACTTAATTGACTTTTGGTCAATAGTACGAGGACCCATTTGACAGTTTTCTCTTCTAAAATATAAGAACTTGATCAAATAATATTAAAATAAACATAAGAAAACAAATCAAATCGAACTAAATTAAACCTAATACTTTTCACTTTGGTTAACCACTCCAACCTGAACCAAACGGAAAACGAACCGAAACCAAATCAAAACACAAGTGGTTTTAGTTTGCTACAAATTTTCCCAAGTCCCAACCCGAATAAACCGAAACCGAAGAAAACCGAACCATAAACCGATTTGCCCACCCCTATCCGTAACCCATGTTGTGTCCCCCGTATCCAATAATCCAATGAAAGTGCATTTCTTCGCTCACCATCTAACTTGTCACCATCTTTCATAAGATCATAAACACTGCATCCAAATATCTTTAAATGCCCATGCTTGACAGCTTCTCCTTTCCATTCTTCCTTCGGTACCTTGAAACCTAATGGTACTGGTGGCCCCCCGTTGATAAGATAAGCAACAATGTTCACTGCATAAGCTCAGAACGCCTTTGGATGCCCAACGTTAAGTCTCATACTGGCCCTCTCATTCAAAGTTCTGTTCATCTTTTCTGCCACTCTGTTACGTTGAGGAGTCCCTGGAATCGTCTTTATCATCCGAATGCCATGCTCATCAAAATAATCAATAAACTCCGTGCTAATGTATTCACTATCATTATCCGATTTCAAGCACTTTACCTTCAGATTAGTTTCCAATTCAACCGCAGTTTTCCATTACTTAAAAATATTGAAAACCTCAAACTTACTTTAAGAAAGCAGACTCATACCTTGCGAATTGAGTCATCGATGAAGGTCATATAGTAGTTAGATACTTTGCTAATGATACAAGTCATTGTTTACAAGTACAGGAGCCGATATATATAGGCAATCAATTAGGGTACACACTTAATAAAGTTCTAGGCCTGACTGCCACCAAAGAAACAGGCCCAACTAGGGCTGCCTGCACATTTAACTGGGGTCGGTTGCTGCTCTTTGTTTATTTGGCTCCTAGATCTGAGTCGGAAGAAGCCTACAACCCAACATTAGCAACCTAGAGGAATTTTTTGCCATTATAACACATTTTTGAATTTGACTTCTTGGAGTTCACTGCATTGTGAAGTAATAACTAATAAGATGCATCAGTCCATTACTACATTTTGGTGTTGACGTGTTTAGTTCTATAAATCAGCAATTACTTCAGTCGATGAAGCTGAAAGGTGCTCCTCATGGTACAATTGACGTAAGTACATCTTATGTTTTATTATGTTCAGTATACAGTGGTCAAATTAATTGCTTATGAAGCACAATATTAGGGGAAAAGGTCAGATCACCCCTTTTGTAAGAGGCTCTCTCCGACCATCATCATCTGGGGCGGTTCCAGGTGGAATTTTTCGATGAAATTTTTTGAGCATCTTATTCATTAAGTTTAGTTTACTCATACCAAATTTCAGCTAATAATTCAATCGGGAAGATAGTCAAATGAATTTTGAAGATAACAGCTTAGTTAAACAGCGCAGTATATTTCAATATTTCAGAAAATCATTTGACTGCCTTACCAATTGGATTTTTAGCTGAAATTTGGTATGGGTAAACTAGACTTAATGAAGAAGATGCTCTAAAAATTCCACCGGGAACCGTTTCAAATGGTGACGGCCGGACAAAACCTCCTATAAAAGGGGCGATTTGAACTTTTTACGTAAGTTCAAGGGCCTATCTGACCCTTTTTCCCACATTATTATGTTATTATTGTATGGGCAAAGCTTTACTGGATTTAAATTGGTGTTCGAGTTAAAATGTGGATATAAATTGCATCAGGCATTGCGTAGTGAAGTGGAATCCTCTTGTGCAACGGAACCTGATCCTTTCCTTGACGACGTGTTCTCTGCGATGAGGGTAGGTTCCCAAGTATCGTTTCTGATAAAGTCTTGACTCACTCTGCCTCAAACAATAGACTATAGATCATCTGCTAGGGTTGAAGTGGCTTGCTGCTGAACTTTTGAGGTGGTTTGGGGCCGCAGAATGTAAAATAGGCGTCACAGAAATAAAGACTACGTGAAGATAATTGAAAATTTGGAAAATATATCATAGAGCCGGGTTTTAATGGTCTTAAAACAGCTGACTAGTGATTTAAAATAGCCCAATGTGTCTAGGGGTTTTTACAACAATATTACTAAAATAAAACTTATTTACATAAATATGACTATTCATTTCTACAACATAGTGTTGTAGTAACTTAAGTTCGAAACTTGAACATGAATTACTATGCTTTTATTACTACTCTAGTAACTAATCATATTTTTAATTATAAACCATCTTTATTTTTGTCATATTAATGTAATTATTTCATGTGTATCATTGATACTCCCTCCGTCCCGGAAAATTGTTCCCCCATTGACTTGGAACGGAGTTTAAGAAAGTGGGAATAAAGTGGAAATGTATGGTTGTGGTTGAGTAAGAAAAAGGTAAATGAATTGTAGCCACAAAAAATTTTCCAAAAGGGGAAAGTGGAACAATTTTTTGGGACGGCCCAAAAAGGAAACAGGGAACAATTTTCCGGGACGGAGGGAGTAAATATTAAGACCGGATTAGGTCAGTAACTAATCATATTTTTGTAAACCATCTTTATTTTGGTCATATTAATGTAATTATTTTATGTGTTTATCATTTATAAATATTAAGACCGGACCAGGTCAGTATTTTCCAAAAGCACTGAGGCGTAAGCCTCAATGCATTTTGACTGAGTCACACTAGGCTGACCAGCTGAGCCTCGAGGCGCGCTTCACGAATGCCTTTTAAAATGCTTTGACCATGGTTTGGTTCTTTTCTTGACTCACTACATTTTCCTTTAGTGATATATTTGATGACATTTTTAACTTTATTGTGCTATGTGGTTCTTTTTACAGAAAGCCAAAGTTTGGCTTTATGAGGAAGGTTCTCCCGTTCCAGATCTTCTTGGTGTACGTACATATTTCACTCTTGTTTTTTTCGAGGGTTGTTTGGTAAAATAGGCAGGTCGTTTCTTTTATCTTATGGAGCGCAAAATTTTCTTCTCATTGATTAGTTGGCCTTCATCTATTTCCATCATTTGCAATGGAGCCAAATATTCATTATTTTTTGGCTTCAGAATATGATGGAATACAAAAAATGGCTCACTAAACTGTGTGCGCTTCTTTGTAATGAAGCAGCAGTCAGTCCATGCAATTTTGGAAGTGATTTTCACTGTGGGTCGTCCGGAAATAGTCTCTCTGTGCTTTAGTACAGTGGTAAGACTGCGTACATCCGACCCCCCCACCCCACCGTAGGAGGGTCCTTTGCGGCACTGGGGTAAATGATGATGATGACGTATCTAATCTCAGAAGTTAAACATATGGATCATACATATAGAACACTAATTACTGTTCAACTAATGTTTACCATATGTAGGAATGTTTCATCATGGAGCTTGCTGTTGAAATCGAGAATAAAAATAGTCATGCCCTTGTTGCTATGGCAAAGACTTTTTTGGAAAATTTAGATTCTTTTGATCTTGCTGCCAGTTGTAGCTCCCTAGTGCAGAGGCATTCTGATTTGTTGAGAAAATTTCTGGTCGATGCAGATTTTAAAGATGCATTTCTTGAGATAAGAAGACGGGTATCATTGCTTTTCGCATTGATTGGGCGACAAATTACCATTTCAAGTAGAATTGGCATTCACAGGTTAACACTTATCATTTTGTTTACCTACAGGATTGGAACTTCCGCGAAAAAATTCCACCATATAATTATGCATACCACATGAGAAGGAGCAAACAGATTTTTTCAGATGATGCAGTTGAGGATGCAATGCATCGGATCAAGAGAGATGCCTTCTGCACACGATTTCTAAAAGAGAGGGAGACTGCTGCTATGTTGAGGTTGTGCCCTTTGTTTTAACACTCAATTTTTTATATATGTTGTGCAGGTTATATTCTCTCATATTTGATATGAATTGGTCAGGTTGATGAGTTGCTAATTGATACATCTAAGTGACTTAGCGGGTTGGGTTTTAGGATTTGATCAATAGTGTGAGGGGTTGATAGACAGATCTACTTTTTGCATTTTTCATTGAATGTGGGTTTTGTGAACCCTTGGTAGATCTGACATGACATATGTTACTGTTGTCACACTCGAGAGATTGCTTTACCCACATCCTATGTAATACACAGATCATTTGTGTTTGTGGTGTGTTGATTTGAATTTGCAAATGCTATTGGAACTGTAAATCTGATTTTCTTTTGTGTTAAAATGTGGCTTCATCGTGCCTTAATGCTTAAAGATCTTTTTTTAATCTTTTGAAGGGGATTCCTGGTCATTTTGTTTGCATACCATGCTCCTGAAATTCTGAAGTTTGTCGATGGATTTCCCCCCAATTATCCCAGGGAAGCTAAACACATTTTTTATCAATCTAATTTTGCTGGTGATGTTGCGGTAAGAAGCCTAACTACTATCTTTACGGATTGCAAAATTGAAGTATGACCTAAATTAATGTGCCTTTAGGCTTTTAGCAAGTGTTTTCATCTCGTGTTCATTGAAATAACCAGGAATTAAAGGCGGCGGTGGACAAGGAATGTAATGCTGACCCAGATTCGCGATCTCGCTTTGTGTTTCGTAAGGTAAATCTTGCAGTTGAAAGCAACTAATATTTGTAGCAATTTGTAATATTTATTTCGATACGTTGTGTATGTTTCTTACCAACTTGACTTATTTAGTGTTTGTTTTGTTGCAGCTTATGTGTATTCAGTTTCAACATGAAGTTTGTCGTAGAATGATTTGGTATGATATTCACGGGTTTTATAGAGCTCTGTGGACGGAGGATGATAGATATTCAGTTGAGTTTGAAAGTTAAGTTCCAGTCAGCCTAACATCAGATCTAGTTAATTCTCAAAGTGTTTGTTTATATTTGGCATTTAGATATTCATTTATTCATAAATAAACAGTTAACTATTCAAGTCTAAATCATTTTTTTCTTAATTTTTGAAACTTTTTATTGTATTGTGACTTTTTATAAACTAGAAAATTGTGTAGTGACTTTTGCAAAAACAGTAAGCCATGGATTACATCTAATGGATAAAAATGGGAACTGAGCAGCTTCCTTTGTTATTAGGTAAAAATGGTTGAGAAGAATACTTTCATTTGGATGCAGTCAATGTTCTAAAATTCGCTAGGCGCTAGTCGGGCGGCCAAGCACCGCCTAGCGCCTAGGGCGACTAGGCGCCAATTAATCGCCGACTAGGCGGTCAACTCGGTTTCAACATAATACCAAAAAATAAAAATATTCTTGACAAAAATAATATATCAAACAGATAAAGTTAAAAGTGTAAACACAATAAACATTTTTCATATTACCTAGTACTTCGTATAATAATTAATAAGTTAGGAGTTAGGAGTTAGGACTGCTTGGTTTACAATAATTAGGACTTAGGAGGTTTCTTTGAAGATTCTTCACTGCTTTGTTCCTTGATCGGTTGATCCTTTAGATGGAGATGTAATCCATAATCCTCCATGCGACTGCATTCTTTATACTCCAAAGCAGAAAAGGGCAATGAAAGTTCCAATTAAGATAAAACCAACAATGCTTTGTATCACTTTGGTTATAAAAAAGGTCTGAGCAGAAAAGTTAAGCAAGGGTCAGACCAACTAATTTCTTAACAATTAGCAATTTAGCATTAACTAAAGAGAGAAGAAACTTTGTACATCATCAATTATGAGCAGTACCATATCCAACTTTCAAAATGTTAATAACTCCTTTTCTTCTGAAGTTCAAATTCAAATAAAGCCATTAAGACAACAACTAAAAATATCAGGAAGATTCTTGTTTTGCAAAAGAAAAACCATGTTGGTTTGATGTCTAATTTATATCAGGTGGTGTTATTATACGAACTACCAAATACTTAAATAGTAAGTTAATAATTTGCAGGTATATTACAAGAGAGAAAGAGAGAAAACAGTGGAGCATGCTTTTTAACAAAATATTTACAATTCACAAATACAACCAGTTACAATGTTCAGGAAAAACAATAACAAGAAGAACGACTCTATCAAATAGCATAATGAATAGAATGAAAAGTAATAGGAAGGGGATAAAAAACGTGTACTCGTTTGTAGCTCATGCATATAGTGAACTACAAACCATGACAAATTAACACAAAATAGAACATTGTTTTATTTTCTAACATTATTTTAGGATGCTTAGCAAATGAAAAGTAATTTAAATTCCTAAAACCATAAAACTACAACATTACTATCAAGTATCAATCAAGAAGGTAGTCATCACATATTTTCATCAATGGAAGATAGAGAAATAGACAAACTTATTATTCTCAACTTTTTTAAGAATAACAAGTAATTGAAATAAATCACTAGTTAAAGTTTACATTAATTCTTTGAGGAATTTTATCAAACATCATAATTCATTCCAAATTCCTATCAAACTATCTCAATTAAGTATCACATCTCAAGAAAAATCAGCAAATATTTTAATAACCTGCAAGGACAATGTGAACAGAATACCATTTACAATATATGCTTAACAACATAACCATTTTCACAAAACTGAGCTCAAACTTTTGCCCTGTGGCCATTGACCCATTGCATCCAGTAAATCTAACACGATTTTCCTTTTTTAGTTGACTCGTTTAAACATTCAAAATCAAAATCAGAAGCACTTGGATTAATTGAATTGTAATTGCTAGACCTTTGAAAAGAAAAACATAAAGAACTATCTTAATAACAAAGTAACTATAATAATACATCAAAAATATTTTTGCCAGGACGGCTGGATACAGAATAGTGGAGACGCTGGTTCAACTAAGAAGAGAATCCGTCAAGGCGTCAACTATGGCCGCCGTTCGCCCATTCCATCGAAGAGAACAGAGTCGTATACTTTATTAGGTTTAACTTCTAAGTGGACTGGGCGAAGAGAAAAAAGGGTGTACTCTATCAAGTGGGAGGTAAAGAGAGTCTGAACTGACTAATCTCTTACCTAGGCAGACGACTAATCGGCGATTACTAGGACTGGACGGACGACTAATCGGTAGAGCGACTTTGGAGCCGAAAACAACAAAATCTCCACGGCACCTAGCCGTCTAGCGATTTTTCGGCGACTAGGCGCCCGCCTTTTCCGACTTTTAGAACCACGGATGCAGTTGAGAGTTATAAAAAAAGAATCTCTTTTGATTAGAAAATATAGACCGAGAACGTGTTTAGATAATTAGTTAAAAAATTAAGACTCCTCAAATGAAGGGCTAATAGTTGACCTTGGGTGGTATTTCTAGCTTCCACACTCTAGTCCATGTCACTTCCGGTTGAGTATTTCGGGTCAATAACCGATAACAGCTCCGAATCGAATAAATGCCCCCTAGCCTCCGTTGCCGAAATTTGTGCATCTTCCCCATGCTCGGGTTGTATAGGTATGCTGGCGATTAAGTCCCTATCCTCGTTAAATAAATCCGCAAGAATATCAAAATCCCAATCAGTCCCATCTTCGTCATTATAGACTGAACACAAATATCTTCAAGCCCTGATAAAATGTTACTAGCTGGACGACCTTCTTTAGGAGACTAGGAGTAATGAGCCAATTATCTTTCAAAACCCGCATCGATTTGCTGCTTCCAATAAGAAAGCACAACCTCTTCTTGACCGCCAGTATAGCTGCCACAATGCTACATTGCTACGCCAAATAAGGGAAGGATTACTTCCGCACTTAGTTCCAAGAATATTATCATGATTAAAATATTTGGCCTTTTGCATTTATCAACCAAAGAAGACGGATTTTTTAATAGGCGTCAGTGCGTCACACCTTTTTGCCTAACGTAGCAATATTGAACTCTCGTAATTTCCGAAAGCCCAATCCACGCTTCGGTTTGGACTACAAAGATCACCCCAAGTTTTCCACCTGATTTCTTTTCGGGATAAGGGTCAGTTTGGTCCTCGAAGTTGCAAAAAAGGGGTCAAATAAGTCCTTATATAGAAAATTTTGTCCGGACGTGCCATTTGAGGTGGCTCCCGGTGGAATTTTTTGATGAAATTTTTTGAGCATCTTATTCATTAAGTCTAGTTTACTCATACCAAATTTCAAATAAAAATTCAATCGGGAAGACATTCAAATGAATCCATGAAGATAACTGTGCCGTTAAAAGCGCAGTCATCTGAAAGTGGTGGTGGAGCGCGATACTGACTCGGAAGAAAGTTCATCGGAAGAAGAGGGCCAAGAAGAGGTCTTGGTAAGAGAATCAGAAACAGAAGAAGAAGAAGAAGTTAAAGGAAGAGGGGATGAAAAGAAAGTAGAAGAAGTCTCTTCCTTAAAGAATGGGAAACCTCATATCACTATTAGTCTTAAAAAAATCTGCAAGGTTTGGGCTTTTATCCCCAAAATTTGATCCTTGTTGCGTTTTAGATGAAGATTTTGTTCAGTTGGATTTTTGTTTGAATTTCTTTCAGGTTTGCAAGAGAACTGGCCATGAAGCGGGATTCAAGGGGGCGACCTACATTGACTGCCCAATGAAGCCCTGTTTTCTCTGCAAAATGCCCGGTATTTCCGATTTTCTGTCTTTTTCTTTGTTTCCATTTAATTATAGGTAGTTAGATTTTACCAGGAACTGAATTTATTTTGTGGATGCAATACTAAAAGGACTAGAACAAGCTCCCGCATACTAGTAGTATTTATCATTTTAGTTCATATAACATGTTCACATCTCTAGTGAAAAGGTAAAAAGAAATAGTGTATCAATTCATTACAACAGTTTCATATTTGGATGCTCACCCAAGAATTTAGGGAAGTAGTGTGATGTGTGATTGATGAAATGATGCCTGTGAAATGTTGAAGCAAAGCCTACTTTGTTCCAAGTGCTATTTCAAGTTTCCTACTACAGTGGCATCTTTCATCTTCGTATACTCGCTTTGTGTTTTTATAGTACATTTAGCCGTTTGACTTACATGATTTTTTTTTAATTATTGAAGGGCATACCACAATGTTTTGTCCACATCGAGTGTCAACGGAATTTGGTGTAGTGCCGTCACCGCGTAGGAACAAGGAAAATCCTTTGGAATATTTTTTCCAACGCCAGATTCAACCCCACATTCATCCAGTAAGCTTGTTCTCCTTTTCTTTCCAAATGGCCCCGACATTTTTTCCTAACCATCACTTGGGGTATTTTGGAACTTGGGAAATGGCAGGGAAAAGAAATGCCAAGGGAAAAGATTATTTAATGTTTGGTCTTACTTCAGAAAACATGAAACAATATCAATTTAAAATTTCACATATGTCTAGATCTGTTAAACAATTTCCAACATGTATATAAAGTTATTATGGGTTTTCTTATAAATTATGTTAATGTTTGTATTAACTTTAATTGTACTTATTTTCCCGCCATTTCTTTCTTCTAAATTTTATCTCTGTTTTCGTCTGCAATTTCCTTAACATTTTCCCAGATACAAACATACCCTTGACGAGTCTGATAGTTCTCTTTGTCTAATCACAGATCAGGCCAACATTTGTGATCCCAGATCAAGTGCAATGTGCTGTTATTCGATATCATAGCAGACGGGTCACATGCCTGGAGTTCCACCCTACTAACCACAATATTCTTTTATCTGGTGATAAGGCACGAGTTCAGATTTTCTTCTTCTCATATGGCAACTAGAATATGTAAGCATTGGAAAACATGTTTCCTGATGCTATAATGCTATTCACCTTTTGCTTCTAATATAGAAAGGACAACTTGGAGTCTGGGATTTTGTGAAAGTACATGAGAAGATGGTCTATGGAAATATACATGGCTGCATACTTAATAATATGAAGTGAGCATGTACTTGTTTATTTTCTCATAATCATATACATGTGCTGTAGTGTTATGTTTCTCCTGAGCACATTCCTGAATGAAATAAATGAACTCTGTAGGTTCAGTCCAGCAAATGATGGATCCGTATATGCTGCATCTTCAGATGGAACAGTTAGCTACACTGATATAGAAACTGGAATTTCTTTGTCATTGATGAACCTTAATCCTGATGGATGGCAGGTGATTTCTCTATAGCCAGAGTGCATTCTCATTATTGCATCTGACTATCGTGCCTTTGTTTGATTCGAAAGAGATGAAGAGAGGAATGGAGGAAAGTGAAATTGTTTACAAAAATGCTATGTTTGGCTCAATGGAGTACATAAAATGAATTATGTAACAATGATTATATAGACCAATTTAAATAAAATATAAAGGTGAATTAGAAACAAAGAAAAATGTATTTCCTAAATTCCTAATTACTCCAAATTGGGTGAGCAAGACATGGTGAGTTTGGGGGAGTGTACATATCGCCACTTTCTTCCTTCCTCCCAAAACTCCCTCAAACAAATCCATGACACTCTGTTAAGGGCAGACGTACAAGATCTCGTCCACGGACGAGAACGAGAGACTGGCAGGGAACGAGAGCTTAGAGAATTCTGTAATTTGGAATCGATGATGAATGTATTAATTGGAAGAATTAAAAGAAAGGGCTTAGTGGAATTAATATGATCTTGGAAGTATTCCAGAGATCCAAGAATTAATTCTCCAAAGCTGTTTATTGAATAATACTAATGACCCTTATATAGTTATTACAAGAGTCCTAATTTTAAAAGGAAATAAATGCTAACCAAGAAGTTTCCTTAATCATAATAGGAATAATTATGGAAAAGAGAAAAATGCTAATTAGGAAACTGCTGAATAGGAAGCTAGGAATAGTTAAAGAAAGAGATAAATGCTCATTAGGAAGCTGCTGATTAGGAAGCTGCCTAAACTGCCAGGTCACAGATTTCTTTCTCAGCCACTTTGGATTCCAGATTCACCCTTCCTGATCATCCGATTTCTACGTTGATATTTCCAACCATAGAATTGGTCTGTAACACACTCCTTCACTTTCCTCTCCACTACAAAGTTTTCCAACCATATAAGGGCTGAGTTATAACTTAGAAGAAGTGAAAAACTGTCTAATAGTATGCAGACTTTGATTGAATTTGTTCTCTGATGGCCTTAAATGTCAATATCCTACATTCTCTTTTCATGTTTCAAATTGAATATGAAGATTTTATAGTGTTTGATTCATGTATTTGTTTGAATCTTTCATACAAAAACTTGTTCATTTTTTTACCAGACATTGTAAGTGAGAGTTCTGCACGATCAGATTTCTTATGTTACAAGCTGCACATTCGTGAATTTAACCTATTTTGTTGTTATGTAATTGTTAAATGGGACCTTGAACTCAGTTCCTTATTGTGAAAGTATATAGATTATACTTTAGGATATTAGAATATACTTCAGAATATTCTAGGAATATACTTTAGGATATTATTATTGTATAGAATCTTATATAGGAATATTCTATTTGTAATGTATATTTATAGGGACTTACATAACTAATGAAATATACAGAAAATCTTTCCTCCTCTCTTCAATATTATATTTTGTAGTTTATATTTCAACATGGTATCAGAGACATCCATTTCAGTTTAGTTTTTCAGATTTCAGTTCTTTATTCAGGCTGATTTCAGTTCTGTATTCAGGCTGGGTTCTTTCTCCAAGAACTTGAGTTAACTTCAGAACCTTACACACCATTTTCAGAACCTTACACACCATTCTGCCTACAGAACCTCTAAACACCATTAAACAGAACCTCTGTCCAGACCCTCATTCCAGAACATCAATACACCCTAACCAGAACCTTTGTCCAGACCAACACCGTCCTATTTCTCACCTCCGTCCTAACCATTTGCACTTGCCGCCGCCGACCACGTCTTTGGAGTCCGCACCGGCAAAGCTTCGCGCGTCAGTCACACGCGCCGTCGAAGACTTTCGCGGCTGCCGCACGCGCCGGCGAGTGAAGCTTCATAGCTGACCGAATTTCTAACCGGATTCGGCACCTAGGTCGCCTGAGTATTCTCTGCCAGGCAAATCCATTTTTCCGATCTACCAACTTTTGGATCCACAGTCTTCTCGAGGTTGGCGACGCGGATACTTTTGGAAGGGAGCTGCGTATATATTTTATCTATTTATTCGTACCAGACTGTTGAGAAAGGTTGGGATTTGAGACTAGGTGAGCTGGCTTGAATTAGAAAGGGGCTGCGTTATATTTTTGGAGTCGCCACTATATTAGCTGGGAAGTCAGAAACCCAGGCCTCGCCAACCATCTATTGAGCTGCGGCTAGTAAGTCTTAATTAGCTGTATTTATTTATTTATTCCAAAAAAAAAAATCAAAAAAAAAAAAAGAAATAAAAAAAAATGTCTTTTACGGGTCCATTTGGCAGAGGAGTAATATGCCATTACTGCAAGAAGCCCGGGCACTTGCTCAAAGAATGTAGAAAGTTGCTGTTCAAAAATCAAGGAAATCAGCTTGCTCATGTTGCTTCCACTACGAGTTCATTTGATGGATCAATTGCTATTTCTGCAGACGAGTATGCCAAATTTATTTGCTACCAAGAATCTCTAAAGCATTCCTCTGTCCCTATCTCGGTAGTCGCTAATTCAGGTATTTCAAGCACATGTCTCGTTTCATCATCCTCGAAATGGGTCATTGACTCAGGTGCCACCGATCATATGACCAGTAATCCTAGTTTATTCTCTTCATTTCATTCACATTTACCTACTTCTAGTGTCACTTTAGCTGACGGGTCTACCTCACCTGTTCTTGGATCCGGTACTATTATCCCGACTTCTACATTACCCTTATCATCTGTTTTGAGTCTTCCTAATTTTGCATTTAATCTGCTTTCTATCAGTAAAATCACGCGTTCTCTTAATTGTTCCGTAACATTTTTCCTGAATACTGTGTGTTTCAGGATCTGTTAACGGAGCAGATTATTGGTAAAGGACATCAGTCGGGTGGTCTTTATATTTTGGATACATCAATCACAAAAGGTATCTCTTGTCTTGGAGTTGGAAATTTGTTAGAAGCTCATTACCGATTAGGACATCCATCTCTCCCACTAATGAAACAAATATATCCCCAGTTTAATAAGGTGTCATCTATACAATGTGAGTCGTGTGAATTTGCAAAACATCATCGTACTAGTTTAAGTCCTCGACTTAATAAACGAGCAAACACTCCGTTTGATCTTGTTCATACTGACGTTTGGGGGGCATGTCCTGTTGTATCTAAATCTGGTTTCAAATATTTTGTAACCTTTGTTGACGATTATTCTTGTATGACATGGTTATATTTTATGAAACGTCGATCAGAGTTATTTACTCATTTTTCTGCATTTTGTGCTGAAATTAAAACTCAATTTAATGTTCCTGTTCGTGTGTTGAGGGGAGACAATGCCCAAGAATATCTATCTGCTCCATTTAAATCTTTTATGCTTCAAAATGGCATTATTCATCAAACATCATGCGTAGACACACCTCCTCAAAATGGAGTTGCTGAAAGAAAAAATCGACATCTGTTAGAAACTGCAAGGGCTCTTCTATTCCAAATGAATGTACCTAAACAATTTTGGGCGGATGCCGTGTCTACCGCATGTTTTTTGATCAACCGTATGCCCTCTTCTGTTTTAAACGGTAAAGCTCCTTATCACTGCTTATTTCCAAATAAAGAGCTTTTTCCTATTCCTCCTAAAACATTTGGTTGCACTTGCTTTGTTAGAGACGTTAATCCTCATCTTACAAAGTTAGACCCCAAATCATTAAAATGTATTTTCTTGGGTTATTCTCGAGTTCAAAAGGGGTATAGATGTTTTTGTCCAAGCACGGGTCGATATCTTGTTTCTATTGATGCATCATTTCATGAAAATACACCTTTTTCATCATCCAAGACAGATATTCATGGGGAGAATGATGAAATACTCATTTACACGGTCACTATACCGGAATCTACACCTCCGGTAATTGTTCCACATGTTACCGTTCCCGACCCCAGACCTCCAGTACACTTGGTTTACACCCGTCGACACAAAGCACCAGATCACCCTCCACCTGTGACACCTGTGATTACATATCCTGATATTGGTTCGCCCTCGATCTCATGTCTTGAACCAGTACCTGCTTCTTCAGATCATGTCTCTACATCAGATCTTGACCTTCCGATAGCACTACGTAAAGGTACACGATCTTGTACTCATCCTATTTCTTCATTTGTGTCGTATAGCCAGTTATCCCCTGCCTCATGTTCTTTCATTGCTTCCATTGATTCTATTTCTGTTCCCAAATCTGTTAAAGAAGCCTTGTCTCATCCTGAATGGCGTCATGCCATGGTAGAGGAAATGAATGCTTTGGATCTTAATGGTACTTGGGATTTGGTAGACTTGCCTTCAGGGAAGAAGTCTATTGGATGTAAGTGGGTCTTTGCTGTTAAGGTTAACCCAGATGGATCTGTTGCTCGGTTGAAAGCTCGATTGGTTGCGAAGGGTTATGCTCAAACCTATGGTGTTGACTATTCTGTCACTTTTTCTCCTGTTGCTAAATTAACATCCGTCAGGTTACTTATTTCACTCGCTGCAACTCATGATTGGCATTTACATCAGTTGGACATTAAAAATGTGTTCTTGCACGGTGACCTTCAGGAGGAAGTTTATATTGAGCAACCTCCGGGATTTGTTGCTCAGGGGGAGTATGGGAAAGTTTGTCGACTTCGCAAATCTCTTTATGGTCTGAAACAGAGTCCTCGTGCATGGTTTGGGAAATTCAGTCAATCACTTGAACAATTTGGAATGGTAAAAGGTCAATCAGATCACTCTGTCTTTTACAGAAGAACGAAAGCAGGTATCACATTGCTTGTGGTGTATGTGGATGATATTGTGATTACAGGAAGTGATACTGCAGGTATTTTGGCTCTCAAGAATTTTCTTCATAGCTAATTCCAAACAAAAGACCTAGGCTCATTGAAATACTTTCTGGGTATTGAGGTAACACGGAGTAAGAAAGGTATATTTCTATCTCAGCGTAAATATGTACTTGATTTACTAGCTGACACAGGGAAATTGGGAGCAAAGCCAAGCACAACTCCCATGGTTCCTAATGTGCAACTCACTCAAGAAGGCATGCCATTCGAAGATCCAGAAAGATACAGAAGATTGGTTGGAAAGCTTAATTATCTTGCAGTCACTCGTCCAGATATTGCTTACTCTGTGAGCGTAGTGAGTCAATATATGTCATCTCCGACCATTGATCATTGGGCTGCTGTAGAACATATATTATGTTACTTGAAGGGAGCACCAGGACGTGGGATTGTCTATCAAAATCATGATCACATGAGAATAGAATGTTTTGCAGATGCTGATTGGGCCGGATCTAAAGATGATCGAAGATCTACCTCAGGGTATTGTGTCTTTGTTGGAGGGAACCTAGTATCCTGGAAGAGTAAGAAACAAAGTGTGGTTTCTCGTTCGAGTGCCGAATCAGAATATCGAGCTATGGCACAATCTGCATGTGAGATCATATGGATAGGCCATTTATTGGGTGAAATCGGATTGAAGACACCGATGCCTGCTAAGTTGTGGTGTGACAATCAAGCTGCCATACACATTGCCAACAACCCAGTATTTCATGAAAGAACAAAGCATATCGAGGTTGATTGTCATTTTATTCGAGAGAAGATACAAAAAGGATTGATCTCTACGGGATATGTGAAGACTGGAGAACAACTTGGAGATTTGTTCACTAAAGCACTAAATGGGATCCGAGTTGGTTATTTATGTAACAAGTTGGGCATGATAAATATCTATGCTCCAACTTGAGGGGGAGTGTGAAAGTATATAGATTATACTTTAGGATATTAGAATATACTTCAGAATATTCTAGGAATATACTTTAGGATATTATTATTGTATAGAATCTTATATAGGAATATTCTATTTGTAATGTATATTTATAGGGACTTACATAACTAATGAAATATACAGAAAATCTTTCCTCTCTTCAATATTATATTTTGTAGTTTATATTTCAACACTTATTTTGTTTTTTATTCACTTGGGGACAAAAACATGGTTCCATAAAGCGAACTTATGCAAGTCCAAATATGTAATATGTTTCTTTAGGGAGCAAGCACTTGGAGAATGCTTTATGGGTTGGATGTAAATCCAGAAAGAAATGTTGCACTCATTGCTGATAATTTTGGATACCTATATATGTATGTATGCTTTGAACTTTGACTCCAACACAAACCTTATTGGTAATCCATGATGAATTCTCCTAACATTGAATTGGACTAACTCATCTCTTTAAATTCTGAAGGGTTGATGTTAGGAGCAATAGTGTAATTGGTGAACCAATTTTGATTCACAAGAAATCAAGTAAAGTCGTTGGTCTTCACTGCAATCCTTTTCAGCCAGATCTTCTGTTAAGCTGTGGAAATGATCACTTTGTAAGTTCCGATGGTCAGTTCGTATGATATTTTTTCAACTGTCATGGAAAATGCTAGGAAAATGAAAACGAAACTAAGAGAAGTTATTTTCTTGAGTTTGACTTCATTGCAAATTTTGGTCAAACTTCAAACTTATTTATTTACTATAGTCCTACTATATCTATTATAAATAGTAAGAAATATAAGCTTATGATTTATTTTTATAATCACATCAATCACATTCTATTTTCTTTTGCACCAATTTTCCGGGATCCAAACATACCATAAAAGTAATAATTCCAAATCATGGTTGGGTAGTGATTATATGGCACCACAGTTTTGGCTATCCTCTCTATTCCAGTTTTGTATATGGGACATGCGGCTGTTGAAATCTGGATCTTCTCTGTGCAACCTACCACACAAACGTGTTGTAAACTCAGCGTACTTTTCTCCGCATAGTGGTAGCAAGATACTTACAACTTCACAGGATAATCGACTTCTTGTTTGGGATTCAATATATGGTAACCTTGATACTCCTAGCAGGGAAATTGTTCACAGTCATGATTTCAATCGACACCTTACTGCTTTTCGAGCAGAGTGGGACCCAAAAGTAAGCCCCATTCAATTGGAATCTAAACAAACATTTTATTTAGTGTCTATTTGGAAAGGCTTTAAGTGGATGAACTGGGTGAAGTTGCTGAAGTTGTTGAAATGACTGAATTATGAAAAATTTTGTATTTACATTCAGTAATATTTTTCAAAATCAATTTTTAAAAATAAACTTAGTCTATAATTAATGTCCGAAGTGATTTAGAAAACTGAAAATGTTGAGAGTGAATTGTGTGGTATGCAGGATCATTCGGAGTCGCTTGTTGTCATTGGGCATTACATAAGCGAGAATTTCAATTGAACTGCCTTGCACCCCATCGATTTTATAGATATCAACACAGGACAGTTGGTTGCTGAAGTGATGGATCCGAACATAACAACAATCAGTCCTGTGAATAAGTTGCATCCACGTGATGATATTCTTGCATCTGGAAGTTCAAGGTCAGTCCTGAGTAAAACAGTTGCTTTAACATTTCTTAAAGCATCGACCTAAACATGGTACTTTGACATGTTTCAAATTGGCATATCCAGGACCCTCGAAAGTTCAAGTTTGGAGTGGTCCATAAAAGTAATTCACTAATGTAAATCTCCATGGTAAAAGTTTTACTTAAAGATTTTTTATAACCAAACTCATGCAATGTTTTCAAAAATGAATCTATTCAAACATTAATGCTTTGCTTGCAGATAATCATTCTTGTCATTGTGATAGTATTTTTATTGTCTCACCATTTATTGCTCTTTTTATAGTCAGTTTGTGTTCGAACTCAACTACTAAACTGTGCAACTTGTATATAAAGTCTCTTCATTTTTCAATTTATAGTTCTTATGAAGTTGCATGTAGTGACTGGTGTTCTTGAAATGAGTGTTTTGTGAGAGTTTCAGGTCACTTTTTATTTGGAGGCCAGTGGGGGAATCTGAGGAAAGGGATGAGCAGAAGAAGATTTTAGTTATGGGGCATGCTGATAAGAAGATGCGAAAGACATTTGGTGATGCTGACAGTGATGAAGATGGAGCTAGTGGTAAGAACATCAAGGAAAAGAAGAACATGAATGTTGCTTTGAAATCTCAGTCTCTCAGTCTCAAAAAGAAGAACAGCTAGTTTTTTTTCTGCATTGTCTAATGATTTCCCAAGATACATATGCAGCTGTTTTGTATAGTTTAATAGTCCCAACTTCACAATTTTGTGTAGAACTTGGCCAGGTGAAGAAATGTTGTCTTTTATGGCATGTTGAGCAGTTTAGCCTCTCTCTCTGGTCATGGGTCACTCTTTTCCTTCATTGTAGACTTGGTAGTGATGCAGCCTGACCCATAAAGTAGTTGGGACATTATTTAACGTGTTATTTTGTTATGCAAAATTTGATCGCTCCATTGTGTAAAGTATTGCTGGGTTATATATTTTGCTATTTTATGGTTTACTATCTATACTGCTCATCAACAAGGTAGTAGGATTGTGTTTTTGTTATGTATCATGTGTAATACTCCCTCTGTCCCCTTTTAAATGTCCCGGAGGAGGGTGGCACGGGTTTTAAGAAAAGTGAGTTTGTGTGGTTGATATTAGTTGATAAAGTAAGAATAAAGTAAGAATAATTTTGAGCCACACAAACTTTACCAAATAAGGTATGAGACATTTAAATAGGGACAACCCAATATGGTAAAACGGGACATTTAAAAGGGGACGGAGGGAGTAGTTCATAAGAGGAACTATTATTGGCCATAGTGAATAACCAAGTTTGAACCAGCGCAGCGATAGAGAGCCGGCCCTAGGGGAAATCCTAGGCGGTCATCCCCAACTCCCTTCAAGATCCGATTTTGGAAGATGAAGCATTCTCTATGCAATGAAAGATCGAATCAAAGGTTTTTCTATGTTTTCGCTTAGGGGTGGACTCGGGCCGGGCGGCCCGACCCGGAACCGGCCCGGCCCGGTTACTGTTTGGCCCGGCCCGGGGCCCGGTGGGTCCATCGGTTCAGTTTGGCCCGGTGGGTCCATCGGTTCAGTTTGGCCCGGCCCGGGTGATGGGCGGTCCGGGCTCGGGCCCTGCTTTAGATGAACTGGCCCGGCTGGCTCGGGCCCTCCATCGGATGCTTTAATTAATTTTTTTTTTTTTGAAATTTTTTTAAGTTTTGGGTTGGATTAGGTATTTTGGGCCATTTGAGGTGGTTTGGGGTGGTTTGGGGTTGAGGGGGAGGGGTAGGGGGTTAAATAGGAGAACAAAAAAAAATGGCCCGGCTTGGCCCGGCCCGGCCCGGTTTGGCCCGGAACCGGAACCAGAACCGGCCACCGGCGGTTCGGGCTCGGGCCCTAGTTTTCTGGCCCGAGGCCCGGCCGGGCCCAGGCCCGAACCGGCCCGGGTCCACCCCTATTTTTGCTCTTTTTCAATTTCTATTTTCAAGGAATTTGGTCCGTCTTCTTCATTGGCTGAGAATTTTGTCCGCTTCATGTGAGCGTGTTGTATGTTATTCTCCTAGCAATGTCTAGAGGCTGTGCATTTCTAATCGGTATAATCGGTCTGGTGAAGCTTCTTCAACCTTGTTGTTCTGATGTTTCAAATACTCGCCCACCACCTGAACCACCGCCTCACTCTGGGAAGAAGAAGATGATCAAGCGGATCTCCTTTTCGGTCGCTGGTCAAACCGATGCTTCAAGAAATTTTTACTCAACTGATTTCCCTTTGTTGGTTGCTGGTCAAACCAATTCTCCCTTTCCGGTGACTGGTGAAGCCGGATCTTTTGGTTGTAATTTTTTGATTTCTCTTTGGAGTAGCAAGAAGATCAGCAAGGCTGTTAGACTAGACCAGGCATGGACCCGGTTCGGGCCGCCCGGCCCGGGACCGGCCCGACCCGCCACTGTGCGGGCCCGGAACCGGCCCGGTTCTCGGGTCCGGGTCCGGGTCGGGCCTAGGCCCGGTGGGGGGGGGGGGTCCGGGCTCGGGCCTTGTATTTGGTGAACCGGCCCAGCCGGGCCTAGGCCCGGGCCGAATTGATTTTTTTTTATTTTTTTTATTTTTTTCATTTTTTGGGGTTAGCCGGGTTGGGCTTGATGGTTAGGAGGGGTTTGGGGGTTTGGGGGGGTGGGGGGGGTGAGTGGGGGGTTAGGAAAGCAAAAAAAAAAATGGGAAAGTTCCCGAAATGGGACTAAAAACGATCAAAAATTCCAAAATAGGACTAATTACTGCCAAATTTAGAAAATACTGTCATGTTTGAAGTCTGGTACTGCCAAAACATGACAGTAATTAGTCATATTTTGTGAATAAAAACATGGAAGTCTTATTTTGGAATTTTCAAACTTTTTTAGTCCCATTTTGGGTAATATCTGCTCATCCTATTGTAACCTCAGGCTATTCATTCTCTTGTATTTTTGCTATCGCTTAATAATAAATTAGTTATTTGATTTTGAGAGGAACTACTATTATTGTAGTTGCGTTGAGATCCAAATCAGTGGAGTTGCATATGATAGCGGCGCTCCAGAATGTGGAAACCATAGCGCTTCGAGCTCACTGCTGGTCCTCAATCTCTTGCGCACGGGGTTTGTCAAAAGATGGTTCATGGTTGTAACTAGTAACGACTACTTAAACTCCTCCAGAAGTTATCAGAAAAAGTTCTAATCTAGCCTAAACTACATCCTAAATGAAAACCGAGTGATCTAAACTATGTTATATACCCAGAGTAATTTGTTGTTTCATTTTATTCTTTTGTTATATAATTGTCAATAAGAGAATAATATCAAGTTGATAAGTAACTGATACAGAATATTTCATTTAGTGATGGACCCGCGTCCGGGTCGGGCCTAGGCCCGGCCGGGGCTGGATGGCAATGATTTAGGCCCGGGACCGGCCCGGTTGTCTACCGGTTCCGGGCCGGGTCCGGTTCTATTTTTTTTTTTCTTGATTATTTCATCCCCTACCCCCCATCCCCCCAATCCCCGAAATCCATCAGAAACACCCAGCCCATTTAAACCCAACCCAAACAAAAAAAAAAGGCCCGAACCGGGCCTGGCCGAGCCGATTCACATTTAATCTATCCCGGAACCGCCCCGGTTTCATCCTTAAACCGGGCCTAGACCCGGAACCGGTACCCGGTTCCCGGGCCGGGCCCACACAGTACCGGGCTGGTCCCTGGGTCGGGTGGCCACACTGATGCCATCACTAATTTCATTAAATAAATAGTCAAAATTGAAAATTTGTACTTTATTATATTTTTAACTAGTATCTTTACCCGTGCTGTGCACGGGATAAAATGATTTTTTATTTAGTTTTACTAAATAAAAATTAGTTACTTAGTCGATTATATCATTGATTTAAAATGTATATATTCATATAGATTGAGTATGCCTTATTTTTGAACTAATTATCTAAACATGTATCAGAATATATTTTTCAATGAACAGAGCATATTTTGTATAACTCTCAATTGCATCCAATTGAAATTAATCTATTTTTACCTAAACAAAAAGGAAATGTTCAATGACTATTTTTATCCATTAAATATAATTCGTGGCTTTTTTTTTTTTTTCAAAACTAACTACACATTTTTGTAACTTATTTATCTAAAAAAGAGCCAAGTCAAAATTTTAAAGATATTAGCCCTACTATGTTTTAGAAATTTTCAAATTAGTCTTTTGATTTCTTTTTTAAGAAAAGAGTTTAGAATATATAGTTTTGTGGCATTCCGATTTTAATGAATGTGATGATGGCGACAATGGACTGTATATTGTGATTGACAGCGATCTATTTATATTTTGTTAGGTTGAGTTATTGAAGGTTTCAATGATCTTATTAAGTAAAATTAATGTTATTGAACGAAAAAAAGTTTCATGCCTTAGACTTTCAATAGACAATTTTAATCTAGAAGATTAGATGAATAAATCCTATAAAAAGAATCTCATCACATCAAGATGTGGCTATAATCGAAACATAAGCATGTCAAATTATGCAATGAAATTAAAAAGACAAATGTCTCATATGCTGAAATGAAAAATGATCTCAATTTGCACGACCAAATAATTACTATGTACCTTTGATATACAATCTAGTTTATTTATCTAGCTCTTAAACAAAAGTTTTAGTCTCACGATATAATTGTAATTTATAATAAAACTTTCTGAGACTTGAAATGTAACTTTCGGTCAAAGTATATCAAGATTATATTAATATGTACACTAAAGTAAAAATAACGTTTACTTTCATAAGTGATATAAAAAAATTGATTTCAATTGAAAATATCCTTAATTAGAAAGGTGGTCATAACTTGAAATAGCTTAAGACAAATTTATATTTAGTAAATTTTAACACATGCAGTCTTGCTATTTTAATTTTTCCACTTTCGTTTTATCATACTTCACTCTTCTTTTTATTTTAGGAATAATATGGAAGTTATTAGAAATATTTTTAAACAATTTTTTTGAAATAATTTAGGGGACTTAAAAGATGTTTATTCTCTTGTATTTCACTTTCATTTTCAATTAGTACTTGTAGTTATTATATTGAATTAAATAATATTTAAATAATTATTCTTTCGATAGTCCTAGAATTATGCCATATTGCCATCATATCATTTCACCTTCTACATCATTACATAGTACTAATATTATCATTTGGTTCTACATCATTACATAGTACTAATATTACCATTTGGTTCGTTTTCCGCTTTAGTTTCAAAACCTTATCTATAATCGAGAATACAACATTCACAACCTTATCTATAGGGATCTTGTCAATTTTTGATGGTTCATCATTGCACACAGAGTGGATATCTTGGAGGTATTGTAATCGACTCTTGGTGTTGTGGATTTTCAATTTCGTCCCATATAACACTTTTGAGTTTTTTACACAGTTAAACTATTCCATTAAACTTTTATCACTAAGCGCCGGTTTCTCTAATCTTCGATCTCTTCTTTTTTTATTTCTCTAATCCTTTTTATAAACTTAATTAAATTTTATCAACAATCTTAAAAAGGATTGAAATTTCAGATTCAATCCTTTTTTATAAATTTTATCATAATTAAAAGTACCTGTCTAAAAAAATCCACAATTATAAAATGAATACTCAATAGAAAACGATCAACAATTAAGAAATTAAACAATCAATTATGATTTTTCAGTCATAAACTAATAGTTTTTTGAGTGAATTTTTTAATGAAATTTTAAGAAAATGTTTTCATCAAGTGTAGATTATGTGCAAAGAATTTTATCTTAAAATTCAATCGTGAAGTCAGCTAAATAAATTATTGAAAAACCATGTGCCAAAATATGTATAAAAAAATGTAGTGTTTTTCAATAATTTATTTAATTGATTTCTAAATTAAACTTTTAACTGATTCTTTTTTACATTGTCTACACTTCATTGAGAATATGATCATAAGTTTTCATCAAAATAATTCATTGCGAAGAACTTCAACAAATTGCACCAAAAAAATGGTTAGTTTA